GGCCGGTGGTGCACAACTCTCGGTGTCGCCCCCCCCCCCCCCCCCCCCTTTTGAAGTCAGTTTTTGTTCACCAGACCCCCTCCCCTCCAAATGGACTCTGAAGCAGAGGGGAACAGGATCGATGTTCTCATTCACAGGTCGTTGGGGTTGACAATGGTAAAGTCCGAGTCCTTGCTGTGGGTGGAGCCCTCCTCTGGGCTGGAGGAGCCCGAGGTGGTGCCGGCCATCAGCGGGTCGTGGAAAGTCCCTGGGGCACCCTCGGGCTCCATTCGCACCACACCACGCCCTCTCCTTATAGCGAGCGTGTGCTCGGGCACGGCGCCGCCCCCTCCCCCGTCCCTGCCCTCGGCCAGCAGGTCTCCGTCCTGGGACACGAGGATGTAATCGTCCCAGTTCTTCCCCTCTGAGCCCAGAGACGCCGCCTGCAACGGTAAAAGAATCAAACGTGTGCACGTTGTGTACACGAGGAGACCCGACCGTTCGAAACAAACCCGAGTGAAACACGATTACACATGTCGTGCTATTCCAATGTTTATCGACAATGTTTGTCCATACATTCATTTATCCGTCTGTTAGCAAAATATCTCATGTGGATGGGTTTTTAATCAAACTTATAAAAGTAATCAATGACTGACTCCAACTGAATTCAAGATGTCTGCCTTCAGCTGACAGACTGCTAACCTGTTGCTCGGGCGGTGTCACCGCTGGTTCCTCGTCGCTCACGCACCCGTCCAGGTGGGGGTCTCGGCTCCGCCTCCCATCTTCTCCTGATTGGACCTCGCTGTGATGAACGATCGTGTTTAGAGCCGTTTCTGCTGCCGCCGCAGCCGCCGCAGCCGCCGCTGCTGCTGCGGTGTAGTGATCGTCAGCGATGGTGATCTCTTCGTTCTCCTCAGACTCCAGCTGACTCTGATTGAAGCGCAGCGCCCCCTTCAGGATGTCTTTGATCTGGCAGGAGGAGAGAAGTCATGAAAACGCACCTGACGTGGCAGAAACATGGGCTCACAAGTTCACCTGTTTGAGTCCAGCCAGTGACACCAGGACCTCATCCTCCTTTTTCAGGTGTTCTTGGAGAATCACTTCCTGGATTTTACCTGCAGAGAACCAATCATCAGGGAGTCATTAGTCAATCTGCCACTTCATGGTTAATTCAAACAACGTATGTGCGCAGATTGTAATTTTTATAAGACTCACAGATGTGTGAATTCATCATCTTGGCACAGTACTTGCTCATGGCCTCCAGGTCGTTAATCTGTCCCTGCAGGAACGAGACCTGGGCCTCCAGATCCTCCTCCTGTTGGTAAACAGAAACAATCCCAGAAGATGATGAAGAAAAGGGATAAGAAGCTGATCAGGTAAAGTCCAGAACATCTCACCGTCTCCCGCCCTCTGCCCATGGTTTTACTGTGGGAGCGAGAGCGTGTGATGCTGAAGAAAGATTCTTTCTTGGTGGCAGAAGGGGGAGGAGACGAAGCGCTGACATCACTTCCTCTGGAGACGGGCAGAGGCGGGGAGGTGGTGGACTGACCCCGCCCACCAGAAAGGCTCTCTGTACTTGTGGAGGAGCTGACTGTCCTGAAACTTTGGCCTAAAAACAACAGAGGGAGAAACATTGACCAAAAGTTATTAAAATACACTTTAACAAGTTGGACAAATACATCTGATTGGTTTTACATTCACACCATTTAAACTCCATCTTATTTTCATTTCCTTAACATAAAACTTAAAAGGCAGTGGGGAATGTTGAACCCTGAATGCATCAATCAACACACAACTAAAGAATCTTTTCACAACATAATCATTCTACTTTAAGATAATTCTGCACCCCATAATATTTTTTAACTTCTAATCAATTCAACTTTAAGCAGTGTAATATTTAATCATTAGCAGAGCAACAACCTGCAGGGGGTTATGCGATCATCTTGTTTCAAATGATGTTTATTTTGAAAGACATGGTCATCAACCAACCAAAACAAAAGAGGTAACACAAATTTATAGCTACTGTGACACAAACAACATTACAAAGATGTGGCAACTTGTTTGAAGCATCAAACATCATTGTTGCCATCAGCTCCACTGCAGGAGATGATCGCCCTCTGCTGGTCAGAGGTCATCATCACATGCACATGCACTGCACAAGCCCTTACTTGAATCATTTCCACCAAGAAGCAAACAAAGGGTGAAGAGCGTGGTATTTGCTCAACATGCGGTGTCAAAGACAAAAAGCACTGGAAAGAAGCGAGAGGGATGTCACACGAGGCGTTGCCATGGCAGCAGTTACCTTGTGCTTCAGTGTGAGCCTCTGCTTGGAGAGACACTCCACCTGAAAGTCCATCTAACAGACAAGAGAGTCACAGCTGATGCTGCCACACAAACCCACGTCTGAACATGTTCATCTCAACATGCAGGTAAGTCTCGAGTTTATTAAAGTGGTAAAAAATAAAGAAGCACGTTAGTGGATCAGCAGAATGTGTCGCGTGTCCTGCAACTAACCCAGACCAGTTCTGCTGCGTCTCGGCGTCCTGCTGCTCACCTTTACTGAGATGGACCGGCATGCTTTCAGACTTGAGCAGACGGTAGTTCTGAGTCTGGGCGTGGCTCGGAGGCGGGGCTGAGGAGGGAGGGGGCTCAGCGAGTGGGTGCTGCAGGACGGGCGCAGGCGCCGCAGCGAAGGACGTGGACGGGTGCACCTCGGAGTTGATGGGGGACGCACTGGACACGGCCGGACCCATGAGCTTCCTGCCGAAGCTCAGCAGGCTGCTGGAGACCTTGTTCATGTTGAGAGGAGCCACTTTTGGCACTGAACTTGACCTGAAACAGAAGAAAGACACAACTTATCGAGATATAGAAGAAAAACTAAATTATTGACCAAATTTTAGCACCCGTGAGATTTTCACATCCTTTTTTATTTTTGTTCAACTTCTGTAGATTTTCAACCTCATGCTGAACGCTGTGCAGTAAAAAAAAAAAAAAAAAAAAAACTTCCTGAAAGTTCCAATTTGAGGTATTTTGGGGGGCACTTAGTTCCAGGAATCACCTAAAAACAAGAACTGAACTGTTCGAAAGTGATATCTGAAGCTGCACAAAAGGAAAATGTCTGAATAGACTACAAGTCTCTGGAACACAGATTTGTAGTCTTGTAGTTTTACCTAAATGTAAAACTTTTATGCCGTTCATCATAATCTTTAGTTTATTAGTTGCTCTGGTAGATTCATAATCGTTCCAATCCCACGATCTCCCAGTCTAATCATGCACACATCTAATAAAAATATACTCAGACTAAAAATCTACAATTTATTCCATCGTAATAAAAAGCAGTACTCATAACCACATGATAAAATTTGATTCAACTAAATACGTTTTCAGACGCGTCATATCAACAAGTTTCATTTAAAAAGGGTCAACTAGTTCACAAGATAGTTCACAAGATTTTTTGCTAACAGACACGTGATCTCCAGCTGTAATATACAGCAGGCAATGACATATTTGAAGCTTTAAATATAATCAGACAAAACGATTGCTGCCTCAAGGAATAAGCGCAAAACCAAATGAAATTGTTTAGAAGGTTAAAACACACAAAACAGATAAACTATTAAAAAAAAACAACAACGAATAAATTCCTGACAGCTTCCATTTGTAGTAGTACATATACGAGATATATGCATACAATTTTCACGAGTTCCTCATCTTTCTGACTGTGTAATGTCGTGCATTGAATTTTAACAGAAATGCGAACGAGAGACGTTATTATCTTTGACCCATCAAATGAATGCGGTCATTTATTTTCAGAATCAAAGTTTAACATCAAACATTTACATTAATTTGGCAAAATATGAAAATAATAACAGACAAGTTTCACAAATAATGAGCTTCAATCACACGGCGGTGATTGAGGACTTTGCTTCAGATATTTCTAAAATATCTGTACTGATTTTATGAGAAAGCAGAGTTTAAGATGGAGATGGAGATTTATCTTACAGAGAGATTTGTGAGGGAATTAATCTGTTATGACCAGAACGTGCACGCTCCATCAGATATCAGCTGGCCTCCGGTACACTTAGTCGAAAATAGAACCTTCTACCTGGTTGACGATGGAATCAGCATCGGCGTAGGTTCCTTTCTGACTCTTTCAGCGTCTCCGTGAGAACTGCCAAACCCTTAGAGAGTCGTACGTGGTGTTCAACCAGAAATTATAATCCCAACATCGTCACTGCATTCTGTATTCCAACGGAAGCACTCCGGGCTTCAGACATCAGAGTTTCTCCATCGGACATCAGAGTTTTCTTCTTCAGCCTTCAGAACTCTCAGACTCTAGAACTTCTTCAGAACCTCCATCACTCTGAGACTCTTACTCTCTATCACTCCCAGACTCTAACAGAACCGGGAAGTTGCCACATTTTAAATGGGTCGACTTCCGGGTCATTTGAGAGCTTTTGATTGGTCGATGGACCAGGAAAAGGTGTGGTTTGTGATGTAAGATGTTATCATAAGTCGAGGTCAGAGAATGAGATTGTTCAACAACTAACAGAAAGATAATTGCAGAAAAACCAGACTTCGTGGCGTCTCCCTCTTATTATCTTCTGAAAAAGTTTAAACATGACATTTTTCCTCGGTAAACATTTTAGTTGACCGAAACCGACCTTTAACATACTTACAAAAGCTTGCTCCTTGAAGACAGAAAATCAAGAAATGCATATTAACCTGATTTCTTCTTTGAATGAGGAATAAAAATCATTACTTACTGTTTATGTAAAATAAAAATGAGTAGTTCTCTTCAACCTGTAACATTGAGTGAACTAACACAATTTGATTATCAAACATTTGTAAAACAGTGATGATCATAGAGAATTGTCTTTTCTGCTTGATTAATTCAAGAAAGAAAGTCACCAGATGGCTCAAACTGTATTTCTGGACGCAGATCAATGAAATAACAGTCACTGTTCATCTGATCAAGATTTGAGGTCAGATCAGGTTCACTACACATTTCACAGGACTCCTGCACCATCCTAACCATTAAATTAAAAAAACTGGATGCTGGAGAATTAGTTTGGATCGTACCGTGTCTTGTTCATCAGGTCCGCTCCTCTGGTTTTATAGTAATCCAGGTTCTGCTGGAACTGGTAGTTGACCGGGCGAGGATTGTTCTACAAAAAGGAAGTGAAATCAATTTATTGTGTTTGTGTTGCTAATGAACAAACAAATCAAGAGAGTTAACGACTTATAATTAATCTATGCGTGATTAAATAAACAAGTAAATATTACATGTTTAATTAAATATATATCAAATTTCTGCAGGCTAGAAAACAGAATAAAGGTTTGATTCCAGAAGTCAGAAACACGTGCACTGCAGGAGGAAGAAAGCCCTAAAAATTCACAGTACTGAAATCTGAAGGCAGGAAAACAGCAGCTTGTTTCACTGTGAATGATTCTGAGTGCTCACGTGTAAAAGTGTGACTTTTAAATGAAGCATTTTAAGCTCCGTTTGCACTGAGAGTCACACAAGTGCTCAAAGTGTTGACATCCAGTTCTGTTTTCAGTCAGCGCAACGGCCTCTGCATCACATGAACCCCGACGGAGGAGGAAGCAGCAGTTTCACAGCAGGAACTAGTCTTTTCAACGTCACGTTTAAAAAAATAAATAAATAAATCACGCTGCATTTATTATCATAACTGTGGCAGAAAACCAAATCCTCTCCCAAACCGACGCCTAAATGTATCAACAACAGACATGAAGCAGAGTAACATGTTCAAAGAAGTGAAAATGAATAAAAATAAGAGAACTGAAACCTGAACAACTCATTTAAACTCCTTTAGTTTAAAATCATGCACGGCATGGACGGTTCCCCTGCTTAAACCAGCACACGTCCAGGTCCGTCTGAAGTTTGCTCATGACCATTTGGATGATCCAGAGGAGTCATGGGAGAAAGTTCTGTGGTCAGACGAGACCAAAATAGAACTTTTTGGTCTTAATTCCACTCACCGTGTTTGGAGGATGAAGAATGAAGAGTACCATCCCAAAAACACCATCCCTACTGTGAAGCAGGGGGGTGGAAGCATCATGCTTTGGGGGTGTTTTTCTGCACATGGGACAGGACGACTGCACTGTATTAAGGAGAGGATGACGGGGCCATGTATTGTGAGATGTTGGGGAACAACCTCCTTCCCTCAGTCAGAGCATTGAAGATGGGTCGTGGCTGGGTCTTCCAACATGACAATGACCCGAAGCACACAGCCAGGAGAACCAAGGAGTGGCTCTGTAAGAAGCATATCAAGGTTCTGGAGTGGTCTAGCCAGTCTCCAGACCTAAACCCTATAGAAAATCTTTGGAGGGAGCTCAAACTCTGTTTCTCAGCGACAGCCCAGAAACCTGGCAGATCTAGAGAAGATCTGTGTGGAGGAATGGGCCAAAATCTCTGCTGCAGTGAACCTGGTGAAAAACTACAGGAAACATCTGACCTCTGTAACTGCAAACAAAGGCTACTGTACCAAATATTAACATTGATTTTCACAGGTGTTCAAATACTTATTTGCAGCAGTAACACAAATAAATTATTTTAAAAAATCATACATTGTATTCCTGATTTATTTATTTATTTTTTAGATTATGTCTCTCACAGTGGACATGCACCTGAGATGAAACTTTCAGACCCCTCCATGATTTCTAAGTGGGAGAACTTTCAAAGTCGCAGGGTGTTCAAATACTTATTTTCCTCACTGTATAATGCTTTGTTTATAATCAGAAAATGTAAATAATGAACAATTTTCAGGCGTTAGCTTCAAAGTTCCCTCCATCTGTGCTTCATGTAGTTACAGTAAAAGTGCCCTGTGGTCCCCAATAACCACCTTAATGTGAGGGACTGGAACAAACACATTTGCCGCCAATTTTAACTTCCCCCCTTTTTTTTTTTATAACCTTATCACTTGTTCACAGTGTCACAGCACTAAGTATGCTGTTTTGGGTATAAACTACACACCTGTTGCTCGAGGATTTCAACCCACAGCTTTGCGTGTAGGTGTTTCACTTCTGCAAATCTCTCAGAAATTAAAATAAATCACTGTTTAAGCATGGCAGATACTGAGTAAGGGTGTAGGAGTAGGCATATCCCAGCTCCAAGCACCGCACGCCCTCCACACACACACACACACACACACACACAACCGTTGCAATATTTATTTCAACATTGCTCACTTTCTTTTCTTCTTTCAACGTACGGCAAGTTAAGCAGCAGAAAACGAGATCATACGACAGAAAAAATAACGTTCTGGTTTAAAGATGGCTTACTTTGGGATCTCTGAGGAACAGAGCCTTTTGCAGCAAAGCGTTGATGTCTCCAATCGGAGGATAGTGCATCAGCAGGCCCAGGCAGGTCTGGAAATTACTAGCAATTACTATAAGAACAAACAAAAAAGCACCTTTATTAATCAGCTATGCTATATTCTTTTAAAGAGCATAAATTGTTATTAGAATCTCAATGAAAAGTCTTTCTAGCAGAGGACTAGAGTGTGCTACATTTGTGCTGTGTTCAGTGTAAACTTCAATTTCCTGCAAACCTCTCCTATAAAGACAGACAGCCTGCCAGATAAAGTTACATCACTTAGAGAAGAAGAAAAAAGAGGTATGACTAAAAGGATTGACTGCGTTCTGCTTGAGGAAATATGACCCCATATAACTAAATGAAACAGAGTCAATCTTTCTCTTCCAGCTGTGTGTGTCTTATGACATGACATGTGCTTTTATTGGATTATTTAGGAGCTGAAGGGTGCATACAAGCATCTCGGATGTAGAGCAGCATGGCAACGAAGACGTAGTCCACAAGGTCCAAAGTGACGCAGTCAGCAAACAGAGCATCCCACACCACCAGGAGGTCCTGAAGAGGAAACTCACGGCCAAACAGCAGACGAACCCACCGGCTACAAACAAAAGACAAAACAACAAACACTAACAACATCTGTGTAGAACTGAGTGTTGATTAAAGCTTGGGATGAAGGAAAAGTTTAAATACGGACATGCCGTAGATTTGGGGGGCGATTTCCAGCCGGTTTAGGTGCATGTGTAGTTCCACGTCGTGCTTCTTCACCAGCTGGTCCTGGATGCGGTTGACTTTGGTCACTATGGCAACGGATGGGCCAGCGTCCTGGGGCCGAGCGAACGGGATGCTGGTCAGCATCTCTTCCTTACCCTGAGGAAGCAGCTCATTAATTAACTGGCACACCATGAAACAACCAATCAACATTCAGCATGGGTTAAAAAGGGGCAATAAATAAAGATACAGTGAGCAAAATAAACAAACACTAACGTCTGCTGCTTAAACAATTACATCATATCAAATCCTGTTTATGTCATACTTAATGGCTGAACATTTTTTCTGTTAATAGAAACACTGAAAATTGATTATTTTTTGTTAGAAGCCAAGTATTTTATTCTCAAATTGCCTACCTGGGCATGAAGGACTCATAATTCACTACGCAGCTAAGAGGGGTTATTTTATTACCCCATCCTTTTCAAGAAGCAGAACTAAATGAGGCTATATTTGGTGCAAATCCATCAGCCTCTGCTACTTCACAGTGAACTTGCACAAATAGAAAAATAGAGGGGCTTTTATTGTGAAATAGTCACATGAAACATGTCAGTTCAATTTTGTCTAATTTGACAAGCCTCGTTTTCCACATATTGGACTTAAGTAGCTTCAGCACAGACTACACAGTCCCCTTAGGGTAATGTGTGTTTGTGTGTGCGCGCATGTGGGGGGGGAGGGGGTGTCAGGTTTGAGCGCAGTACTCCAAAAAGAAGTCCACATAAAACCCAAATGATCCCAGGTTGTAAGTGGAGCAGCCACAATGAGCTGGCAGATAAAAGCGCTTCATGTTTCCAGCTGCACATCTGCAGCTCTGATCCGTTTGAATTAAACAGATGCCACATGCATAATCCACCGGTCCTCTGTAGTATTTAACAAAGTAGCCGCTCAACTTGTGTTAGCCAAACGGCACCTGCTGTTACCATGGCAGCAGGCAGCGTTAGTCAAATCAAGCACGACCGAAACCTTCAGGCTTTCCGCTGAGCGCACCTATGATGCCAGCCGATGTGTTTGGATGCACAGTCAAATCCAGAGTGAACACGTTTGAAGCAGCAAACTGACCTTCCTCACTTCCCTCTCGAAGCTGGAGAACCACGGTTCTGCTGTGTCCATCAGATGGGAGAACATGGCGCTGCACGGGAAGAGGAGTGAGTAAATATGGGGAAACACGAACTACACAACAGGAACAGCAAACAATAAAATATAAATGTTTTCTCAGTTTGAACTCACTATGCATCGTGTTCAAGATACGCAGGACTCAGCAAACATTTCATCTCCTCACTGTGGAAAAACACAAACACCCCGACTTTCATGGATGTCCAGAGGACTGTAAATAACGGCTGCAGAAGGGCAGGGCTGAACGTGTTAAAGACAACTACATGGAGACAGATTCAATCTGAAGGGGACAACTGACCCGGGGCTGGCGGTCTCACTGGCGTGCTGGAAGGCCTGGTGGTCGCAGTGCAGCACAAACACTATGGGAGCCAGCAACTCGTGCATCCCCTGCAGACAGAGAAACACCTAGAAGTGCTGGTGCATGCAGACAGAACGTATGCTTCATTTGTGATCAGACGTTGTGTAATAGTGATACATGAGATTTCTAATCTGTGGCGACAGCCTTAATTTAGATATTATTAGCCACTGATCAACCATGTGTCACTTCTTGTTTGGAAAGAAGATGCTGAACTGGCCATTTTCATTTACTGGGACCTGATACAGACACTGGCAATGATTAGGGTTCATCAAAGGCATTTTGTTCTGTTTGAACTCACAGCGCACTATGAGCTTCACACATGCACACAAACACAATTATCAAGAGTGTCACTTTGCAAAAATGCTAAGAAGCACATAAGAGACTGATTCAAAGAGCAATTACCTTTAAATTCTCCAAATGTACTACTTGGGCAACATGTGTCATTACCTGTTTGTACAGTAACTGCTCGTTTTCTCTGGCATAACAGAAAAGAATGTCCGTCAGCTTGGTCCTCACGTCCTCGTCCTGGAAGTAACGGATCTCTGGGAATCTTTACGCCAATGGAGAACAAAGAGCATCGCTTTATGTTGGCAGCAGCTGAAAACAAGCACTAAAAGTCAAAGAGACGAAGATCCACGTACGTTCTAAACACGTCCTGCTTGATCATCCCCTTCAGTTCTTTATCCTGGAAGAACTTGTTCCACAAGCTCTGCACAAAAATGAACAATGCTTAAAGAAATTACAGCAAGACTTGTGCACACGAGACACAAACTGATGAGTACCAGGGTCAACATGATAAAGAGGGGAAAATGAAGGAACTGTGAATGCACAGAGCCTCACCCCTTCATCCTGAGACAGCGGGTTGTTCACTACCAGGTCCTGCTGGCCTGCAGCTTTGCGCGGGTTAGTGATGTGCTGTGAAAAACAAGGATTCACAATATTTAAGGTCTGACAGACGAACGATCAAGAATTCTCTCAACAACAACACCAGTGTTGTTCCTTTCCTCAACTTCATAATCATGTGACTAATATATATATATATATTTATTTTGTTTGTTTGTTTATGATTTTTTTGGGGTTATACCTTCTTTTTCCATTTATTTGAAGCTCAGTCAATGTACCTGATTATTTTAAAATGGGTTCTGTTTGTTAAAGCTGCTCGACAGTAAAATAAAAACTACTCAAACATAAATAAAATAAACAACACCTGTTTACCCTCAAGTCTAACTACAAAACATAAAACTTCCCTGTAATTAATAATATATATATATATATATATATATATATATATATATATATATATATATGTATGTATGTATGTATGTATGTATGTATAATCTTTCGGCTTCATCAGGTCGTGATCTACAGCTTTCGCTGGAGCGGTTTGCAGCTGAGTGCGACGCGGCCGGGATGAGGATCAGTTCCTCCAAATCCGAGGCCATGATCTTGAGCCGGAAAAGGTTAGAGTGCCCTCTCCAGGTCGGGGAGGAGGTCCTGCCCCAAGTTGAGGAGTTCAAGTATCTCGGTGTCTTGTTCACGAATCAGGGAAAAATGGAGCGTGAGATCGATAGACGGATAGGTGCAGCGTCTGCAGTGAAGTGGGCGTTGTACTGGTCTGTTGTGGTGAAGAGAGAGCTGAGTCAAAAAGCGAAGCTCTCAATTTACCGGTCGATCTACGTTCCTACCCTCATCTATGGTCATGAGCTTTGGGTTGTGACCGAAAAAATAACATCACGGATACAAGCGGCCAAAATGAGTTTTCTCCGCAGGGTGTCTGGGCTCTCCCTTAGAGATAGGGTGAGAAGCTCGAACATTCGGGAGGGACTCAGAGTAGAGCCGCTGCTTCTCCACATTGAGAGGAGCCAGTTCAGGTGGCTCGGGCATCTGGTTAGGATGCCTCCTGGACGCTTCCCTGGTGAGGTGTTCCGGGCATGTCCCACCGGGAGGAGACCCAGGATACGCTGGAGGGACTATGTTTCTCGCCTGGTCTGGGAACGCCTCGGGATTCCCCTGGAGGAGCTGGACCAAGTGGCTGGGAGAGGGAAGTCTGGGCCTCCCTACTTAAGCTGTTATCTGAAAACTGTCTGGATTAAAACCAATAAAAACAACAAATGTGTAAAGAAAAACTTTCCAGATGTTTGTCTCAATTTTCAGGAAGTTTTAACCACTATTGTTCTAGAGAATCTTAAAATATTACAAGTCTTCTCCTTTGAAGAAAAATATAAAAGAAAATGAACGGTAATTTCAGATATTTGCACAGTGCTCTTGGTTTAGAAACAAGCGACCTTGGTTTATTTGATAATTTCCCTACAAGACTGAAGAAAATGGGCACAGTCTGGGTCACCAGACCCTCACCATCTCTTTGATCTTCTCATACTGGGCCCGGAGCTCTTTGGTCCTGCTGATCCACTTCTCCTTATCTTCAGGAAGAACCTCCAGATATAGCTGCAAGCACACAGATGCACAAATTGATACCTTACAAAAAACTTTTAAAGTAAAAATAAAACAGAACACTAGCTTCTTAGTTTAAACTCTCTTCTGTGGCAATAAACTTTCCCAAACGCCTTTCAATCCAACTCGATCCACCTGGCAGGTACCTTCCAACATACGCTCCGAAAGCGACTACTCCTCAGCCGACCGCTGATGCCAGCCTGCCGGATCCGGGCCAGGTAATTACTGTTGAGGAACAAGTCGTCCCATTCTTTCCTGCATGGGGGTGGGGGAGGGAGAGATAAGGCAAAAGACGACTACATTTATGAGCTCCACACCTCAAATTAGAGACAGTTAGCAGTAAAATCTAAACCTTCATGGTAGAACCACACAAAGAAACACAGAGATTGTACCTGTACGAGTAGAAGGTTGACTGAGAGCAAGAGCTGCTGTCAAGAGATCCTCCTGATGACAAAAACACAAACTGTTAGTAAGAGAATACATTTCTAACAAAACCTTAAACCAGTCCTCAAATAGTGGGGCACGACCCCCTAGTGGGGGCTCGGGGCAATGCCAGGGTGTGACCCCGGGGAACATGCTTTTAATTTTCCGCAGAGAGAAGGGTTTTTACACCGGACAAGAGCACACAGGACAGAGGAGGAGATATGAAGTGCAGATAAACAGACAACATGGAAAAACATTTAACAGGGATGAAAAGAAAGACTGAGATAATGAGACAAACTGAAGTCTCCTGAAAGCTAAGCCGAGGAAATATGACGAAGCGTTTGTAGCGCTTGGCTTCACAGTGACTACGGTGGGAGACGAGGAAAGACCGGCGTGTTTACCGTGTCTAAAAATGTTGGCAGCGGACAGCACGAACACAAATAAATTAAGGCGTCACTTAAAGACATTAAACTCCAATCACGCTGATAAGCGCTTGAGTTTTTTTCAGCGAAAACGTGCGAATATTGCCAACAATCGTCAGCTTTGTGAATGTTACTTCAGTTTTTTTTAAAAAGCTGTGCACTGCAAAACGTGCTCATTGTTGCATTAATGCTGACGTCCTCATTTTGATTAAAAAATAAAATCAGCACAAACTGTTTTATTCATTTTTGTTTTGTAGGTCAGTGTTTTTTTTTATACCAGTATTGAGCTCCTGAGTTAATGTTGCTGATCAGTTAGAATTTATTATTATTTACTGATTATATTTTATTTTTCAGTATCAGATGGTCAAAAAATGTTTACAGTTAATTTTATTTATTTATTAACCTTTATTTAACCAGGCAAGTCCCACTGAGATCACAGATCTCTTTTGCAAGGGAGGTTAAGCAGACTAACTTGCATGTTTTTTTTTTTTAATGATTACATTTTTTTATTTTAAATTTCAGGCAAATTGATGCATTTCAAGTCTTTTCTGTTACAGATTAAAAAACAACGTTAATAAAAGTTATTCTTAAAGGTGCTCTATAGTTCTTTTTTGTTAATGTTAATAAGGATACAATGTTATACAGAGGTGTACTTATAACGATTTTATAGACAAATTATACTATTTACAGTCGCGGCGGAGAGTTGGGGGGCACAAACTGTTTATTTCTTCCTAATGGGAGGTGCAACAGAAAATAATCAAGAAGCACTGCCTTAAACAAACAACTTTAAAAAGAAACTGGCCTTTAATTGCCTGTAAGTGACCAAACATTTATAATTTTGGGTGACGCTCTGTTATAAAGGCATGCAGTGGAGCAGAAGAAAGGACAGTGATACAAAGTAAAGCTCCATACGTCCTCTAACGATGAGAATAGGTCTAACTTGGCGTGCAGGTTGAACGTGCATTTAAGTCAAAGCTGTCTGTCAACATTAGTTCAAGGATCAGTCTGCAGGGACGCTCAGAATGAATATTCATCAGATTCACAACCTGCTAGGCCACAGTATTTTATTTCTCTCACACAACCAGAAAAACACGCGCTCATCCCAAGGCCTGGTTTGTCATGTCTGTGACTCAGCCCTGCCTTCTTTGTAGGACTGCTTCCACAAATTGTTTACATACTCAGATGGACATGATGTATAGAAAGGAACCGAGGTCCAGAGGTCTAAAGATGGCGTTACGATAGGGTTCCCAAGACGAGCCGCTGAATGTCTAATTCATACTCAAGGTTTGAAAATCATCAGAGCTGACATACGGCTGCGGTTCTTGTTGAAATTGTGAAGTGGATCAAAACCCGTCTCCTGCTGCTCGTCCGTCTGAAGCGGGTGTCGGGTCTCAAAGTTGGGGTGCTGCATGACCGCGGCCCAGTTGGACCTGATGGCAGAGAGCACACACACACATGGCAAACCGAAGAGTTATCAGCAGTACAGATTATCAAGAGTACTGGATAAATACATGACTTTCAGCACAACAAACTAGCCTCTACTAGTTCATTTAGATCATCCAAGTTCTGATGGAACAGAACCATGGATTCCCTCCAAACAGACTGAAATCTATGGATGAGTGCAGTAATCACTGATTGAAACTGCTGATGACTGGCGTTTTGCATCAGTGGTTTACTTGATATCCATAAACAGATAAACTAGGGATGCACGATATTATCAGCACGGTATCGGACGATATCAGCGATAAAGTTAAATATTGGGCATCGGCCATTCCATCAAAATAACTCGCCGATATAAAAGGCTGTTTTAAATGAATTTTTTAATTTAAGAAACTGTCAAGAATATCTATTAATGCTCGACTACCGTACTTGTGCGCTTTTCACTTGTTGCTTGTGAATAGGTCGTTTAGATTTGCGAAAATTTACAACTTTGCACTGTTCGAGTGTTGGCATTGTGTTAGAGAGTAAATGTCATGAATACATTTGACATTAAACATAATCCAAGTTGAAGTGTTGCATCATTTTCATCCCCCTTTTTGCATCTGCATTTGGTAGCAAGCCTAACTGACAAAGACCATGAAGAATAATGTATTTTAATTCCACAGCAGAGAAAGCTATGTAGTCTCTGTAAGTACAGTAGGTCTAGTGGGAAAACATCGGTATTGGTTAAATAAGTTTTAAAATATCGGCAAATCGGCCAAAAATCCAATATCATGCATCCCTAAGAGAAACATTTCTCTGGGACTAGCAAACTCTAAGCAACCTTGACTTGTTGGAGCTTACTTTGACAGCTTGGGGATTCTCCTCAGTCTAAATTCAGAAGAAAACGATGTTTCTGTGGAAAGAAGAGGTCACATCAATGAAACGGCACAAATGGAAGAAGGAGCAATGAGTAGATAGAGCCCGGTTTATTCGGATGCAATAAATGTCAGCACAATAAACAAATACAGAAGAATCTTTAAGTAATAAACAAATTGGGTTAGGCTTTTTTTCCCCACTCCATGATCAAACCAAAACCTATAAAGCATTTTTCTAAACACCGTTAATAACTTTGCAAAACACTAACAGTGATTACAGTCAGTGAAGAATGGCTGAAATTACAAAGAAGCCCTTGAGCTGCCTGATGCTCACCATGATATATTGAATATAAACGGCAAAGCTAATGAAGTCATTAAAAAAAAGCAAATTAATGCATCAATTAAATGCTTCAATACCAGACCTCCTTCCACATCCAACAAACCGCAGCAATCCTAAGATGATTAAGAACACACAACTTCTGGAAGATTTGTCCATTCTTCATAAATTAAAAGCGATTAATGTGTCATGTAGCAGCAACATGAAGTTTATTAACTTAAGAGGATAGAAACTTCAAAGATTTAATACAGTTGTAGCTGAAGTGTGTAACACTGAAAGATGGGTGCAGTGCCAGCCTTTAGGCTCGTTTAGGAGGAGTTAGCCTCTGGACTTTTGTTGGAATATTTAAAGAAGTGGCTTCAGTTCTGCAGGCGCATCTAACAAAATGGGAACATGGTGAAAAAGTTAAATTCCTTTTGTCGGTCATTTCAGAAAGTGAAACGCATAAATTACATAGATTCATTACACAGAGTGAAATATTTCAAGACTTTATTCTTGTCATTTTGATGATGAAATCTTACACATAATGAAAAAATAAAACTCGGTGTCTCAGAGAACGAGAATATCCCACAGCCAGATGTTGGTACCGTTGTCAGTGTGGGCAGGAGCCAAGTCCTGCTGGAAATAAAGCTCGTCAGCAGAAGGAAGCATGAAGTCTCTAAAAGTTCCTGCGTGGACTGTGGACTTGAGAAAACACAGTGGACTAGAACCAGCAGAGGACATGAACCCAAAGCATCACCGACTGTGGAAACTTCCCTCTGGACTTCAAGCAACATGGATTCTGGACCTCTCCACTCTTCCTCCAGACTCAGACCTTGATTTACAAATGACACAAACATTTACTTTCACCTGAAACGAGGACATTGGACCACCGGGTCCAGTTCTTCGTCTCCTCAGCAGGTAAGACACTTCTGACTTGTATCTGGTTCAGGAGTGGTTGGACTTGAGGACTGAGACATTTATAGCTCATGTGCTGATCAGGGTGTAACACCAGGAGTTTACAGTATTCAACCTCTTCACAATATTCTCATTTTCTGAGACACTGGTTTTTTTTTTATCATTTAAGACATAATCATCAAAAATACAAGAAATAAAAGCGTGAAATATTTCACTCTATGTGTAATGAATCTGTAAAATACGAGCTTCACTTTCTGAAACGACTGACGAAAAAAATTTGAACTTTCTCACAATATTCCAATTTTTTTTTATTTTTGGTGTGCATGTATTAGTATTTCAAGATAAGTACAAGTACTGGGAATGAAAGGAATCTCCAAAAAGTAGATCTTTGCGCCTCTACAGTAAACTATGAGTCGAATCCTCTTCACCAAATTCTGGTAAGAGTTCAACTTTCTCTGCGAGGCATCACAATCTAGGTTAAGCTGTTCATCTTCCATTCTTTGAGCAACTTCCCCGTTTATGGTAATGGTTTGTTTAACGCTCAGTGTTACTGGATAGCATTGTGTTTTCTTTCACATTATTAATAGTAGAAATAACAAAACAAAGGCGTCTCGTAAACCCATTAACCATGTGGCTGAAACCCTGCTTGATATTTTGGCTCCATGAAAATAGAAACGATTTCACATGAATAACGCATGTCCCTGTTTTGCTGGGGAACATCTGCTCTACCCACAGACTAATGCGCCCTGTAAGTCAGTGGATTTATTATCCTCCTTTCTCCCTAAAATAATACGGTTTTCCAGTATATAGTCAAAACTAATCCACAAAAGCTGAAAGCAGAGGAATGCTGTAAATTTACATTTCCAATATTTGCCATTTTTTCTTCTAAATTTTAACTTCATGCGAGTTTCTACAAATAAATAGTGATTTGGGAAAGATTACCTTGTTTTAAAACTATCTGACAAAGACCATTTGAGCAACTTTTTCCCCACAGGCCTGCAGACACAAACAACGTTTTGTTCCTTCTTTCCAAAAATAAAAGCTTTCTAAACTTCCTAAAGAGGCTCTTACAGATCTCTGCTGCCGCTGGTGTGAAGAAAGTCTCATTTGAACGACATTTCTATTTTAAAAAGGCACAGACTTCTCTACATTCCACCAAATAAGCTTCTACAACACCTGGAGATCCCTCAATAATTTAAGGTGATGATCTTATGTAATATTTAAATCACTGCATAATGACATGCATAAATAAATCAGCAGTGAATACTAGGGAGTCCATCTGTTCTCAGTTAGATCTGTTACTGGGACAGAAAAGCTTCAGAAGTTACATTACATTATTCATGTGTTAAAGAACGAGTATGAAGCCACTGATTATTAAAAACTTTCAAAAACAACCCACAACCCTGTCATTTGTTTTTTTTTTTTTTGGTTTGCTGATTTCAAGTGAACTTTCAAATGCTCACTTATACATTTTATTTAATAACTCTAATAAATAGGGATGAACAATATTATCAGCACGGTATCGGCCGATATTAGCGTTAAAGTTAAATATCGGCCATTCCATCAAAATAACTCACCGATATAAAAGACACTTTTTTGTATGACAACCCATCGACAAGGATGCCAGTACAACGTGATGATGTCATGCGTGCCTATCTGACCTGATCACGGTGGAGAGGATGTTGGATTCTGAAGATTTCTGGACTATGCTGAGCCTCGCTACATCGTCCCCAGTCGTAGATATTTTTTCTGACGTAACGTTACTCGAGTTACAAGCCGTCATTATTTCTGACGTCAATGAGAAGCTAATAGCCGATAGCACTTGGGTGAGTTTTACCACAGACATTTGGACGTCGTGTTAGCCCCGTTAGCATGATTAGTCTTATGGTACAATGGATAGACAAAAACTTTGAACTTAAAAAGTCTGTCCTTCATGCACAGGAGTGCAGAGGATCCCACACTGCAGCTAGAAACCCAGAACAAGCCTCCACAAGAGAGACAGCATCACAGGTGACTAATGCTAATAAATAATATTTAACACTTTTCATTTAATATAAGTTCAAGTGCTATGCATATCATATGACTTACTGAATATATGTCACCAGCTCTTACAGCTGGTACAAAATTTTTGTAGCAAATAAGCCTAAATAAGAGGGCTATGTTCTGACAAAGGAAAGTATATAAAAAAATATTTGTATCGGTTATTGGCCAAACAAGTTTTAACATATCAGCATATCGTCCAAAAATCTAATATCGTGCATCCCTATAAATATTTTCTAACGTTTCTAATGAATAATAACTAAATTGATCGTTTTGTGATGTACCAGCACATGCACAGGGCAAGAGTGCACGCAGTTCTGACGACAGAGAAGAAAGATTTAACTATTATGGTACAGATGAGGTATTCTGTGATAAACGGTTGGGGGACAATATCAGATTATTCAATAAATTAATAAATAACCAATAGAGTGCTAAAGTATTCAATAGCTGCATCCCTATTTGTGAGTCTACAAAAGTCACGTGCTTTGCAGAAGAATTGGTAAAGATGGAGACAAGTGCTTCTTAAAAACTGCCTGTGAAGAAAAGTGAAGTAAAATAAGAAGGCTTTGGTATATTCTTACTCTAAGTTAAGTAAAGCACGGCAAATAAATGTACCAGAACCTTAGAAAACAAGTTAAATCAGAAAGAGTCTTTAGAAATCTGCTTGAATTAAAAAAAAAAATCTTATGTTTTCTGAAACTCAACTTCAAAAAGAAATATTCATAAGATCATGTGAGGAGCAACTAAAATCTTGTAGCCTCACTCACAAGCTGCCTCATTTATTAATTTGCATTCGTTTCCAGAACACACTTCCCTTTTGCCTACTTTAAAACTGGCTGCAGTTATTGGAGCCCAAGTTCTCATACTTCACTCTTTTGATTTACTTTATTTATCGTCATAAGAATATTCCCAAGCCACAAATGAACAATATGAGGAGCTAAATGGTTCAATTCCAAACACTTTAACCTAACTAAACAATTTTATTAAAACTTAAACTCTAGAGGAGGCACTTTGTTGAATTAAAAAAATTATTCACAAATTTAAAAAAGCTCCTTCGCTCAGTTGAACCGACACTAAAAACAAGAGGAGCTCTAACCTCACGGGCGTTCAGTAAAAAACACTAAGCTACTTTGAAATTAACTCAGATTAGTTAGATTTAATAAATGTTTTTGCTTAAGTGGCTGTAAAATAAAAATAATGAGACTGAAAAAAACCTGATTTGTAAATTGTGTTGGCCCACTAGTTTTTTAGTTCAAATTCAAATATGTCAGAGAGGAATTAATGCAAAACTGGATTTTTAATAAATGGTAGTGGCCTCATTAAAGTAGATAAATCTGTGATTAGGAGCAGCCGACTGTATTTGAGTCAGAGTGGAACACCAGAGCTAAACAAACTCACATGCCTCTGCATCGGCACACAGCGAGAGCTCAGGACCCTTTACAGTCACATGCTCTGCAAAGAGCCCAGAACAAGCTGAGAACTGTAAGCTTTACAAAACACCAGGAATCCAGTTACAAATAAACTATAGCTGAGGAGAAACGTCAACAGAAGACGGTAAGATGAGGGTTTAGGCTCTAACAGGAAGTCAAGCCTTTTTAAAATGATTTGCTGACAATTTTACAACAGTCCAGTCAAATAAAGAGCACCGTGCACGGCATTTTATACACCTGTTGACAAACTAATATACAGTAGTCCCCTCGCTACTTCATGGTTCGTTTATCGCGGATTCGCTCTATCGCGGTTTTTCAAAATAAGATTGGACATGGCACACAACTGGCTGATTGATGGATGAGACGCACGATCGGCATGGCATTTTTGTTTAAAATAAATTATTTAGCACCTGCTGCTCCTTTACTGCAGCTGATCAGCTGATCTTCATGCAGAGCAGAGAAGTGGGCGTGGCCGAGAGCGCTTGCAGGTGGCTGAGAGCAGCGGAGGCACAGAGAGGGAAATCATGACATTCTGTGCTCTTAGAGCGTTTAGAAACATTGTTTAGAATATTGCAAGTGTGTGGGAAGGGTTTAAAACACACACACACACACACATATATATATATATATATATATATATATATAAATATACATATATATATATATATATATATATATATATATATATATATATATATAAACTAGTACTTACTACTTGTACTACTATTCCTATTTGGTGGTTTTTCACTCATCGTGGGGCTTCAGGGAACGGATCCCCCGCCATAAACGAGGGACTAGTGTACAGCAATGTGTCAGACAAGCACCTTGTATAAACTTTGACCTTGATTTGTGACCTTGAAGCTTGAGTAATGAAAGATTATGCGTCATGTTGTGTAGTGGTGGTAGAAATGTGCATTTATCTTTGTTAAATTATCTTGAGCGGATCAGAATTCATGGGCAGGATAAGAAAATGTTTACGAACACACAAACGTGACTCCTATAACATAATACAGTCGATTATCGATGGGCGTATAAAAATCAAAACTCAACTGTGATAAAACATATATTTAATGGAAGCTTAAAACATTGTCTAAAAACAAATTGGTCATGTACTAACTCTTAAAAAATGCTGATTTTAACTGTGTAGCTTGTAGAGCGTGACATTAATTGGGGATTGTTTTACGAGTTATCAGTTATTTTATCTGTAATGTTTGTGCAGTTGCCACATGAGTTATGTTTTTATAGACAACTAGTTCCGGCTGGTTTTTAACTACCGTGTGACACAGAACCATTGATGAACGTGCACTGTCCTTTTTAAACAAATATGCAATGTAAAAAAAAAAAGTAGCAATATAATTTAACTTTAATGGTTTCCTTGACAATTTCTTAAACTGGTGGTTATTTAAAACCAACACATTTTAAATAATGCACATAGTTCTCCGGTGTTTACGTTAGCAACTCCATTTATGACAATGGTGTCGTTAGAGAATCGCAAATACACAGTGGGTCACTTATTAGAAACTTAAACGTCTTAAACTTGCTGCCATTAAAACCGTAGCAAGAGAAACATGTAAAGGGGATATTTGTTTGCAGACATTTTAATTACTTTTGCCAGCTTTTGATACAGATGAATGGAAGCAGTTCAGATGTTTATGGTATATTACATACCAACAACATTGTTGCATAAGCAGCGTGTGTCTTCTTGCAAACTCTTCATTTAATGTGCATCTTTTCTTCTGGTGTTATCCTGTTTAACAGCACTCTTTTCTCATTAGCAGCACCTACTGTTTAAGAGGAGAACTGCAGCAGCGCCAGCATGAACAGGAACAAACACTGAAAATGTGCTTCTTTCTGATCGTGTAGATCCAACTATAACTCCAGCAAAAAAAATCACTTTTGTCTATCATGAAGAAATACATTTAATACTCACCGCTGACTTACAGACAGTTGAGCAGTTTTTAAAATGTGTACCAGATCTGAGTCAGGGTTTAAAAAAAAACTAGTGATTCTTGCTACTGGGCCTGTTTGTGAGTGATTTATTAAAATCAGGTGTTAAAGATTAGTCAGTAATTGACATAAATAAATGATTTGTTGTTTAAGCACAACTCATTGAATCGCACTGCATCATGTTGTATTACGTTTAACATCCAGGAACAATGTTACAAAAACTATCTGAAGGTCAGTAAATTATAACTTATTAGCTGTGAAAAGCTCCCTGCAGAAGGACTTTCAGTCATGAGCCACAACTTCAACTTCCACTAAAGAATAAAGAAGTCAGTCACCAGTCTGTCTTCGCCAAATTCAATATTTTGATGTCTCTGCACACTTAAATGACTCAGTCTGGGCTGCGAATAAAAAATAACAAAAAACCCCGACAAGGTTTTTGTTGCTAGAACGCAGGCTGGCCCAACTCAAAGCAACAGAAGATGTCGTGAAGAATATGATTATTTTATGCAGCGTTATCCATAAAAAGTTACAACCAGAATTATAGTTTAATTACCGGAGTGTGTCGACGCACTGACGGGGCGAAGCTAAGCAAAAGCGTCGCTAGCTTGTATCCTGCAATGCTAACGGTGCTAGCATATGCTAACTCCGTTAAACAGACGTCATTTTAAGAAGCTGAAGTTGTCCGAAGCAGAGCAGAGATGACACACGAAGCAGAGGAGATAATACGACACCTGCCAAGCTGCTAGCACGAGCCACAACACGCGCGGGCCCTCTCCCCCTCGTTACTTCCGACTCACTCACTGGCTGACGGGAGACAAAACTTGTAGCACGCGCTCTCGCACACGAGCGCAACTACGAGCAACGGCGCGCGTGTTAGTATTCACAGAGTCGCAGGTGCGGGTTACCTGTCCGGCTCACGCAGGAAGCATCATTCTGTCGTTTCGGGCCGTCTACAGGTTTGTAAACAGTGACGGGTCAGGCGGATGTGCTGGAGATCAGCTGACTGGTCACGTGACTGGCGCTGCGGATGCTGCTGCAGGGAGTTCCTGAATCTTTAGAGAGCATTTCATACAGATGAAATACAGTTTTATTGTTTTATTCGAGGCAAATGGTATTATGAGTTACATATTTTAGAATACTGTATTCCCAGAACTGCAACGTTTTTAAACTACCCCAAGTTTTTTTAATTTTATTTTATTTATCTTGCTTTGAAGAAGCCAAAGTGTTTTTATTAATCTCTTGAAATGGTTTTGATGATTATTATTTTTATATTTGGGAGGGATTTTGATTGTGACTGCTTTGTCACTCACTTTATGTCCACTCATTGTGCCTGACCATGACCCTGCAGTGTGCTTAAGAAAGGGAGGAAAGTAGATAAGTGAGAAACAAAAGAAAAAGTGTCAAAACTGTGAAAATTAAATAAAATTAAGGACCTGAGAGTTGCACCATCTTTCCGTTCATCATCAGGCTTTTTGGGATTTACTTTGTTGGTGCCAAAATATTATTTTATGCCCATCAAATTGTATTATCTTTGATATATTTTTGTGAATTCAACCAAAGAAATGGGAACAAATTGTTTCCTTATGACTAACTGTGTTGCCCAACAATCTGTTTTTTCAACCATAAAGTTGTTTAAAATTATTCCTAAATTTCAAGAAAGCCTTTTAAGCATGTGGTAAGGTTTAAACTCACTCCAGGTGATGCAATAATACAAGTTTGTTCCTTTTTCAAATAAGTAGCAGCTTTACAGGAAGAGATCAGGAGAGTTGAAATGCCTGTGCAGACTGAATTTCATTTTTGAGGCTAAATATATTAAACTAGACCTGTCTACACATTATTACAGACTGATATAGAATATTGTATTAATTAAATGATATATACTGACCATTAAATTCCCACTCATTACTTGTGGCAGCAAATCTTCTTGGGATGGATCTAAGTGGACAAAGTTTTTTTTTTTGTAAAAATACTATAGTTCAACAACTTTTGAATAGTAAATACCAGTGAATAAATGTTTTTCTATATCTCTTTATACTTTGTAAAAAGAAAAAGATTATCTGGGTTTGTAAAGCTCAATCCAAGCTTGGAGATTTCCACATTGCTTTTCTTTATATATTCTTGCCTTAATTTTTCCATAAATTCTGCTTTTTCTCATGATCTGTATAAAACGTCTTCTGTACCTCACAGAATGATATGGCACCACCATGTTTACAGACTGGGATGGTTTCATTGAGATGCTCAGTGCCTGGTTTGCAAGCCAAGTAGAACAGAATCTGTAAAAAAGGCAGGATTTTGCTTCCTTTTCTTAAAAAGGTACTTTTTTGATAATCTATTGACTGGTCAGACAGATTTAGGGAGTCCATTTCAAAATGATGACATTTACTGCAATCATTTTCTAAAGGTGGCACAGAGCGTAGAGAAGGTGGGCCTGTGATTAGAAGGTCGCCGGTTCAACTCACCGGACCGACAACATCAAAATGTGGGCGGGATAGATGAAACTTCCGCATCTGTCAAAGGAACCTAGGTAAAGGTTTATGGATGTTCACTGTTAAGTAATGTTGCCGTGTGTGTGAGGTCAGAGAGTTCCTTCTTCTCTCTCTGGAAGAGCCTGCAGACACCTGACACAGTCTAGAGGAGCTGATTAGAGTTATTATAAAAAACACTTCCTGCACTTCATCCGGTGCAGATCTTCACAACCGGGTCTTAAATGAGACATCTGTGTAAGCCTGTGTGAACTCTGACCTTACAAGTAAACTGGGTTATAAAAAAATCTTCTCCTGTCTTTGTGTGTGACTCTTTTTAAGTAACGGTAAGTAGATAATGAAAGGATATTTTTATTCAACAACATCCCCTCCACTCTTGTTTGCCCCACTCTGTGCCCTTGAGCAAGGCTCTTAACCCCCACCATCTGCTCCCCCGGGCACCCTATGGCAGCTCTCTGCTCCACACAGAAGGCTGTGGTAGCTCGGTGGTCTGGTCGCATCAGGAATGGCATCCGGCGTGAAAACAATTGCCAAGTCTCCATGCGAGTTAGTTCGCTGTGGTAACCCCTGAAGAAGGGAGCAGCCGAAAGAAGAAGAAGAAAAACATTTTTCTAAAGATGAGTCAGACAGTTATAAACATTTTGATTGCACTGCATGTCCATCTGATTAAACCAACTGTAAAAACAAACCAAAAAAAAAGTGCTGAAATCACTTTAAATGTACAAATATAGTACACAGTAACATTTCATCTATTTGTGTTGAATTTTGTTTTTACATCAGCAACAAAAGGAGCACATTTTTTGGAGAACAAATGCGGAAAATAATATAATCTCAAACAGAGCAATCCTGAGAGAAATCTGGATGTCTATCTGTATTGATAAAATCAAAGACAGTTGTTTCACACCACTAAGGATAGAAAACCTCATCATACGTAACTAAAAACACTAGAGCAGGGATATTCAACTGGTGGTCCGGGGGCCAAATCAGGCCCACGGATAAACTCAATGCGGCCCACCAATAGGTTCATTTTTAAACAAAACTAGATTTTAAACCATAAAACAAAATTACTCAATGATCATAACTGCTGGATGTCCGGCCCCTGAGCTCTTGTTTTTCAGTAACTGTGGCCCCCTGAGTAATTCAGTTACAACATAGCCCTGCACTAGAGGGACAGTGCAGCCATGCTTATATGGGTAATTACAACAATATCTGAGGTTAGACAAGTTGAGTGATCTGTCCGTGTCTTTAAACTAACATTTTTATCACCAATTGTCACAAGAACCTGAACAAAACGGACATAACAGGAAAGAGCAAAAATCCCTGTGATACAGATTTACTCGTTAAGATACCGAAACAGATTTAAATTTCGGAACCGAGTCAAGTGTTTGTCTGTCTGGTTGGGAGTTAACACAAAGCAGAAATAACGACCATCATTGCTATTACCATCATTATCACCGACAGGGCTTTTCAAGAGCGCCATTATCATCATTATCGCAGCTAATATTACTGATGATGATGCTTTCATGGCCTCTCCTTGGCCCTGACTAAAGTATTGTCATGGAAACAGATGGCAGTAAAGAGCAGAGCTTTGTTGAACTACTCTGTGAAGCTGTTCGGGCCAAATGGGGCTTGAACGTTGCAGTTTCTGTGTATACTAAAGAAGCTGTGATGTGAAGAGTCTCAGGGGGAGACATGTGAGAGTCAGGGGCAGAAACAGACAACTACACAGGGAAAATAACATTTTGTACTAATAAAGTATAGAAGACAGAAAACACTGCAAGCACTAAGGGACATGTGATAGAAGAAAACCACATTTTCGCTGACACACTAGTGAGCAACATGAGAGTATTTATTGTGTGATGGCTGGAAATAACATCGTCAATCCACCCAAACAGTCACAGCAAGAAAAAAGAAGCATCTAAAATATTAAAAGACACCTCAATATGTTAATTTTTTTAAATATGCAACCTAAATTACCACCCTGATAAATGAGTTTTAGCTCATAATTTTCATTCTCTTGCAACTTTTGTGCAGTAAGTCTCCCAGCTTGTTCTAAAATCACAGGTCGTTCACATCTGATGCTTTTTAAAATATGACTTAAACAATCCGTTCATGAAAGCAATCATCCTTTTTGTCTGTATGAAAAAGATTTGAAATAGTTGCATGATGGTAAACTTTTAAATTTACAGAAAAGTATGTAACTCGCCCCTTGTTTAGCTTTTTTTTTTTGTTTTAGTTGGACCAAATCTAACCAAAAGAACCCACTTGGGACCAAAGTGAATAAAAATTGATCATGTTCCTGGTTTACACTAATCTTGCTCAGATTGTGAAAAAGTAACATTTTCTGCACAAATACAAAACGTATTAGCGTGCATAGCTTCATATGATCTCCACTCTCCTATGAAAAAAATCATTTATCACTGCGGACAGCCAAATTAGACTAAAATGGTATAAAGACTGACAAATGTATGTGGATATAAATACTGTATCAAAACAGAGAGGTCTTTTGGAGCTAATTTCTTCTTTAAGAAGCACAGTAAAACTCGATATTGTGAACACACCTGATAAAAAAAAGTTCATGTATTTATTTTCCATTTAGCCCTGCAGTAAAATTGTACATGTTTACTTGTTTTGTTCAACTCCCTCATTGATTAAAAATGCTTATAATTTAGCTTCATATGATAACACTTGGACTGATGTGTCAATAGAAAGATATAGAACAAAGATGAGCAGATTCATTAATTAAGACTGAAGATTTCAAAAGGTAAACAAAATCAACGTCAACCTACGACACCAACATTGTTAGAATAAATGCTACTGAGATATAAAAAACATAATTCATGGACAAACCTTTCTGATATTAAAGTTTATTGTTCAAGATTAAAAAAAAAGTGATCCGATTCTTGTCGAAATTATGTTTGGAGACACAGAAACTTTTGTGTCTGAACACTGTCACCATTATCAAATGCAGCAAGAATGTTAAATTAAAGAACGCCTTGAAATAATATAATAAGGATTACTGTATTTTTCGGACTATAAGGCACAATTAATACTTTAATGTTCTCAAAAATCGACAGTGAGCCTTATAATCCAGTGCGCCTTATGTAGTAATTCTCGTTGTGCGTACTGATCTCGAACCAATTTTATATGGTTATTGTGAATGAGTTGAATAAAGTTTCACTTATTTGACTGTTTGGTTTCGCTTAATGCGCCTTATAGTTCAAAAAGTACGGCAAAAGCATACCTCTTACATTTCAAGCTGTTTTAATATACCAAGACATAATGAAAACATTTAATCCTTAGCAAGTTTGAAAATTCAGTAGCTACAACCGCAAATGCATAAAAACACAAAATATTATACAACTAATCGCTTCTTTACCGTGAACTTAGTAAACTGCAGGAGTCGTGAGTGAACTGAGAACAAATGTTGATCCAGTGACATGTTAACCACCGTTAGCAGCAAGAACAGGAATAGTCTTTTCTATGACCTTACGAGTCTTTCTTGTCAATATGGAAGCCATTCTTTGTAGATTTACTGATGTGTTTGGGATGAGCATCCTGTTCAGTTCCCAAATCTGGGCCAGCTGTTAAGTGCTGGACCAATAGCCTCCCATTTCACATTTAAATACTGTTATACAAAGGAGTTAAAGACTGATTAAACATGGCTGTCAAACAAAACCAAATCATCGCTACACTTTTCATCTGGCTTAGGTGTTTGTCCTGATATGTTGCGTTTAGTTTCTGCCTAGCCTCTTCACTTTAGTCTGTTTAAAGGGCACCGATGTTGTAATCCAGTGGTTATTATGTGCAGCCATGTTATTATTTATTTATTTTGGGGGGTGGGATATGGTGGACGGAATGTGACAAAAATAAATAAATAAATACATAATAATTAAATGAATCAAAGTTCATGCTCAATCATCCAGGTACCAAATCCAATAATTCTCAGTCAGGTCATCTGGAGAGTTTTTTTTTATAGAGACGTTTCTCCCTCTATCCAGAGGGCTTCATCAGTCAGAGAAGTTCCAGTAAACTGTTTCCCCACTAAGCAGTAAACTCCTTATGTGGATCAACCAGTTTACTGGAGATAAAATGGTTTCTGGGGGCGTCCTGTCCCTCGTCGACTCCTCCCAGGTAGGCAGCCACAGCCAAAGTGGTTCAAGGCAACAAAGTTCATGCTCAATCATCCAGGTACTAAATCCAATAATTCTCATTCAGGTCATCTGGACAGTTTCTTTTTTATAGAAACGTTTCACCCTCTATCCGGAGGGCTTCCTCATTAAATGTATAGTTTAATTATTAAATACATCATTAAATATACAATTAATTTATTAAATACACCATTAAATAATGAAATGTGCCTTTTTAAATTCTTTATTTCATAATTAATTGATTTAATTTAGTCACATTCCACCCTCCAGTGTCATCATTAAATTATGTTACCTGTCAGCCTCACTCGTCAAACTCAGTGGGCGGGACTGGGGCTGATTGTAAACAGACCCTACATTTACATACATTTGATTATTACGTATTTATTTATTTTATACTGTCACACTCCATCCTCCACAGTGGGGGTCCTCTAGGCAACTCTTCCAAACAAACCGAACTGCTTCAGTCTTTTCTGATTGTACTGTCAGCAACATTTAAAGTGTTTCCTCGTACAGTTCAACAACATGTATGTTAGTTCCACAGATGATTTAAAATGGACTTTAGGAGTAAATATATGCACGTACGGTTCTTTTTATGAAAATCTTCTGCTGTTCATGCATCAATGTCCGTTTGGTCCCTCATAGTCTGTTAACCAGCAACCATTATTTCTCCCCCACTCTGAGTAAGGGCACATTTGTGTAACCTAATCCAAAAATACTGCTTGTTCAAGGTCATGTATTAGGTTAAGTCTCTTGCTCCTCCTTCACAGGAGGGATGGTCTGAGTAGCAACATCCAATTCTTTTAAAACATAACCCAGACTTGTTTCACTTCTATCTATTTGTTTCTCCTCTTCTTTATGCCCTTGTGTCTTTTGATGCACTTCCAGTTCCTGTGTGGTTACGTGTGCTACTGAAAGGTCTGCAAATCCTTGATGATTATCATAACTGTGCACTGGGCTCTGGCTGTAGTCGTCACTTTGCCCTTGGTTTTGGCTGTTGAAGAAGCTGCGGATGATGTATTTAGGCAGGCCTAACTGGGCTGAGAGGGTGTGGATCGCCTCCTCATCTGGGTTGAGGCCTACTTCCTGAATGAAGCTATGCAAGATACCCAGGGCGTCCCCAGACACGTTTAACCCCTCACCGGGGACCTCATCTGCGCCGCCTGCTTTTCTGTCTTCCTCAGAGCAAACCTCTGGCATCCCGTTGTCTTCACTTTTCACACTTGACCACTTCACATAGAGTTTATCTTGATTTTTTCCACTGTCACTGCCTTGCGTGACGTCATCTTTGTCTTCCTTGGCAATGTTTCCATCCATTTTCTGCTCGTTGCTTCCTTTACCGTCGCCTCGCACTTGTCCAACGACACCCCAGTCACTGTTTTCCTTCCCCCCCTCAACCCATTCCATACTGTCTCCTCTTTCACCATCGCAAATGCCTCTGCCCTCCATGTGCACTCTCAAGTGACCCCAGGCGCCCCCACCCTCAGACTCAGCTGGTGATGCAGCACATGGTTGCCGTGGAGACAAGTGAATCCCTAGTTCTGGCTGAAGTGGTTGATGGGGTTGAAGATGGTGTTGCTGAATCACTGGGGAGTTGTGCTGGTACTGTTGAGAGAAATCAGTAAAATCAGTAACAGCAAGAGGAGGATTTTATATGAACTTCGGCTTTCTTGTTCAGGTTTAGTCTTTTCAGGTTCAAGTTAGGAAATAAGAAAGGCTTAGACAAGATCCTACTGTACTTGTACAAAGTAAGAGTTGAAGTGATTGTCTTACAAATGAGGAATATTGATTTGTTTTGTGACTTTATGAGTCGTTTCTTTATTTCGTGTGTGTGAATTTATAAACTTGTAGCCTTTTTTGTGCTTGACCCATGTTCAAATAACCAATTAACATATTTTCCGGCGTATAAGTCACAGGTTTTTTTTGCATAGCTTTATCAATCCTGCGACTTATAGGCCGAAGCGACTTATAAACTTTATTTTCATATTCATAACACAATTTTTGACTGACGCTATAAATTTCGAAGACCTGCAACAGTGAGTCCTCCCGTGTGCGCTCACTTCACTTAGCTGGTGCAGGTGGAGGAACGCTTGAGAGCTCGCGGCTCTGGCCGTGATGGATGATGGATGGATAGTGCCACGCCGCCCAGGCGAAATTAAGCTGTTTTGACCATTAAAAGAATGCGTAATAAATGTGACGGGTCAGTGGTGACGCATAAAAAATGTGACTTCTACACCGAAGCAACTTATATATGTTTGTTTCCTCTTGGTGATGCTTTTTTGACTGATGCAACTTATACATCAGAAAATATGGAAATAAATGATCAGTCTTTGGTTTTTATTTGAAGTTAGTACCTAAACGAAGCCAAAATGTGTGCTACTGCATCCTGTTGAATTTGCAACATTTAAGAAGATGTCTGGGAAGAAATAAATTGTATAGTTGAGTTTTTTTCTCATTCTGCAAAGATTTAAGTATGATGCTGTTTTTATTGTAGCCACAGAACAGAAATGGCTTTTCCTTGACTAATACTAGATTGGTATGTTCTTTATGACCAATACACAAAGTCCTATATAACTTTTAGTTTATGAGTTTGTGTTATAAAAAGCCACGCATCTGTACAGCAGCAATGAAAATAACTAATCAGCTTTATTGATTGTTCTTATTGTGACTGTCTTGTTTTCATTTTTGACATTTACTGTAATTATCTTGTGCTTTTGCTGTTGCATACCCTAGGATGTGTTTACTTTAAATAATTTAGTTAAAATATTTTAATTTTGCCTACAACACTTTACTAAAATTTAGTTTTTCCAGTAGTGACTGTGTTTTCAGAACAATTCCATGTATATGTAGTGAAATAGTTGATTTTGTGGCTTTACCAGTGTGTTGTCATTGCTGAACAGCGTGAGCCTGTCAGCACAGTGCTGCTGTGAAGACATGTTGCAACTCTCCTGTTCATAGATGGCATCTCGTTCGCTCTGCGTCAAGCTTAGGAATCGTCGGATCATGCACAGGTTCTCCCAGAGGGTCCGGTTCTCCGGGCAGGGATCCTCCTTCCAACGAAGAAGCTCACAAAGCCACCCCTTCAGGAGGCACAGTAACATACAAACAGTTCAAGGTATAATAAGAACTAAACGTACCATGAAGAACTGCAAAGAAAAAAATGCTTTGGTTACATGAAATTTACTTTTCTTCATTCACTTGGAATTGGGAGATGATGGAAATTCCCTTTTGTCATAAAAAAACCTAAAAAACACCAACCACAAAATAATTATATTTTAGGCAGTTAAAAAAAAAATGGTAACATCAATATTTCGGTCTATGTTTTGTAACTAAATATTAAACAATGCTAAGTTTAAAATCCCCTTCCAGGCCCATCTTTTTGTTATCTCTTATCAGCCCAACTACAGTTGTATCATCAGCAGATTTTTACAATGATATTTTAAGAATGCACTCATTCAAAGAGTGGGCGAAAAGAAGAGGACTGAGGACATATCCCTGTTGTGCTCCATTGCTCAGGGTCAGTGGATGAGTCATGTCCCACTGTCCTAAAACTAAAACTTTTTCAAAAATGTTCACAAGTGACTGATGAATTGCTCTATTACTGTGTTCCAGTTGTTTATGGGATGCATGAAGACTTATTAAAGCTCTCTCTCTCATGCCAAAACATTGCAGGTCTCTTACTATATCAAAACAAACGTGCTCTTTTTATATTCGATTTATAAAACAGTAAATAAGTAACTAGGCAAGTATTTTTAGTAATCTTACAACAATTAGGCTTGAACTACACAATGCCATTTTTATATACATTAAAACGATAAATGCAACCATTTAAGACTACTTGATCAAGAATACTTGTATTAAATAGTGAAACCAAGAGTTCATTGACCCTCTGCCACTTTGCCTTCCTTGGCTAATTTGCGTCTTTGTTAAAATATGTTCTCATTATAACAAACTATAAAGCAGGAAATGCTTCATGGGAAAGCATATTGTGAAAGACCCCGTGGGGGTTCATATTTTCCACTTCTTACCCAGATCCACAGCTCACTTGTAATGCAAAACTTTAACAACATGAGCCATGAACAGCTGCAGCCCTAAACTCAGGCTTCAAAGCTAAATCCAGAGCCCAGTGTCTGATGCAATGTTACAGTAGATACACAAATATATGCTTTTAAATGATCAAAACCTAACGCCAGCCATTTAAGTCTACAGAGAACTGCTGAAAAAGTGAAATTAACCAAAGCACATTGCATTAGTAATAATAATAATACTAAAAACAGGATCACAAATACAAATAAAATTGTTTCCAGTGCTAATAGGAAATCTTAAAAACGTGTGTTGTCATCTAAAAATGACTGTTGTTGGTAATTATTGGTTGTACATCTACGAGCTATTATTCTTTGAAGTCAGTCCAGTTCAAGATGTTCGCCACGGCTAATGGACCTGAGCCTACACAAAAATGGCTGTACCTTTGTGAGTTTAAAGATATTGAACTGACGGTCTGATAGAAGCTGAGATTCATTCAAAACATACTCTGAGCACTAATGCATTTCAAGTGATATGACAATGTGGCTTGATGCTATTTTCATGGTTGGTTTCACCAAAATAGCTATAACTCGACCATTTCTCCGCATACATTTATTTTAGTCTACTGGCATGAAAGGTGATGGGCAAAGGCAGTCCTGCAACTATGTTTGGCCATGAATTAAATGCAAACACTAGGGAAGTTATAGAGCCAATAAAAAGCCCCTCCTTGTTCTATCAAATTTATATTTTCATTATAAAATATCTAAAAGGATTCTGTTATTTTTACTTGTGCAATAAAAAATAAAATTCTTGAAGGTGTCGACTGATAGGAGAATTTCTTATCAGCTTCAATTGTTTCAGAATCACTGGAAAGGAAACTTGTGAATGGCAGTTTGAGGCTATAATAACTAACTGCAGCATGATTAGAAGCACACACGCACACGCACACGCACACGCACACACACACACACACACACACACACACACACACACCCACACACACACACACACACGCACACACAAACGCACACACACCTGGATGAAGCCCAGTTCTGGAACAAAATGCCAACCAGATGCACAGTGCAGATAATACAGCGATTCAGCATGGCTCTGCTTGCCAAATGACTGGGTAACACAGAAAAAGAGATAGAACAGAAGTAGAAGGGAGAAAGAGGAAGAAAAAGAAAAGAAACATGTGCAAGAATTGAAAATCTGCTCGAGAAAAGGGGAAAGAGAGACGGATAAACTCTCCCCCGTTCTATGAAGGGAAATTATCCTCAAAACAAAAGGCAATAACAAGCTTATGGGTCTGCCATAAAAATGAGAACAATAAACACTCAAATGGTGTGTGTGTTGTTATATTAGTGGATTTGTGCGCCTGTATGTGTTTGTGCATCTGTGTGTAATTGCATGCATTTGTACAGTATGTGCATAAATAAGCGGTGTGTGTGTATGGCAACTATTAAAGCAATAATTTAAGACACAATAGCAGACTGATGCACTGATAGTCCTCTGCACAGTGCAGCTGCTGGTTGATTGTCTGGGCTTCTCTCTCTCCACACACACACAAACATTTCCCTCAATTCAGCTACAAAAAACTCCAAATTTAAACATGTAATCAAGCAACAGTAACAACTGGGTGAAATTAGTAGTGGATTTTATGTGATCATGTGATTTGCTGTTCATGTACCTGACTCTTGGAGACGGCAATCTTTGCAAACAGAGCCTGAGAGACCTTGGCCCGCTTCATCTCATGTTGAATCTCTTCATAGATGGAGGCGCTGACATTCAGAACACAACTGTCTGTCCTCAACCCTCTGTCACCTGTGACTGGAGACAGTCTGGCCTGCAAAGAGACACACAAGAAAAGACTGAGTTCTTGGAAATGCAACCTACACAAACGAACACACTCCTAATTTGCACAGAAACAATATTAAGAAATGTGGAGCCACGATCACATGCTTTATGCAGCCCCAGAGGGCTTGCTTTGGAATTAAGAAAGGTTTACAAAGTACAGTACCACAATAAATAGGCCTCTGTGATCCTTACGTAAGAAAAAAAAAACATTATATTTTTCAAGAACACATAAAACACTCAAAATATTAATTAAAAAAAACTATCATTTGTATTTACCGTGGCTTAGAGACAGTCCATAAACTGATTATACAAAATAAATAGTAACCTTTAGTCATGCAATTTGCCTGAAGACCTTATTTCAGCATGCATGCATGCTCTCAATGCTAACAATGCTGCACACATATGAGTTAAAGGCTCAGAGGCTAGAGTCTTGCTAACCAGTCGAACTACATAAACCAGGGGTAAAATGACTCATTAAGGCACCAAAACAAACTCAAATCATCAATCTTCCATCCCCATGCTTGACAGCTGAAGTGCTGATATGATGCGTTTGGATGCTTCATATCAGTAATTTACAAAAATGTCTGCTTTTATAAATATGCTCATTGCCAATGATATAAACAAATTAAGTTGAACAGCACTATATGCCTGTTCTTATATTCTGATTTGCTTTGATAGAAATTAAGGTAAATTTACTACTTCCAGTGGTTTCGATCAACGTGATTTTCACCATGACGCTGATTAAAGTAAAAAAATCTCAGTGCAAGCTTCTCTGAGTGACTCGAGTGTCTGCCCTGGCTAACCTGCGTGGATCTAGGGGGTGTGTTGTTGCAGCCGGGTGTGAATCCGGTCAGACTTCTCTCCTTCTCTTCTTGGTAAATGCGATCCCTCTCGGCCTCGGGGAGCTGCAGGAAACCATTCATGGCCCGCAGGTTGACCAGCAGGGACTGGGAGGCATGTTTTGGATCCTCCTCTTTTCGTAAGATCTCAGACAGAAGGCCCTGGTAAACACACACAAATGGATGCTCATTTATTAGCATGATAAAGTATCCAGAGTTCCATGAATATAGCATGTGCACCCTAATAAAACACAGACATGTATTTATTTTCAAAGAATCATTAAAAAACAAGATAAATGGTGTGTCTGAGTCAGTATTTGATACAAACATGTTACTAAGAATGACATAAAACTACAATCGGTTCCACAGATGTTTTTCTTTTTAAGTTTAAGTATGAATCACAACCATATAAATAATGTGTGATATGGCATTATTTATTAAAGGATTGTTCACGTTTGTAGGTGCTGCGCTGTTATATGTTTAACTGTTCAGTTTCAGAGTCATCATAGGCCGCAGTGTTGTGTTTTTAAACATGATTTGTTGTTTGACCTCGTCTCCTTTTTTAATGCCTGCTTAAAGTGCCTGTGACGTCAAATTTTCATGACAAATACAAATGCATTTTTGGAAAGATAACATAAATGACATACTGCAAAAAATAAATAATGATAATTCACCCCACTGAGATGAACAGTTGTTGATAAATTTGCCTGTGCAGTAACAGGAAGTGATGTCAAAGGGGAATGCCTGCATGTGAACAGAGCATTGCTACAATGGCTAAAAACACAGGCGGTAGTTATTTGATGATTTTGAGTCGCTGTCAGAGAGAGACGAGTCGGAGTTCAAATAATAATGTTTCAATAAAACAAGACCAGGGAGTTCCTCTTTGATGTCACTTCCTGTTTTACTTCGGCGATGCTCAAACGAAAAAATGCTAGTTATGTGACAAAATAGGTAAAATTATGTGTCTTGTGCCAAATCTCTTAAATAATAAGATGATTTCTTCCACGTTTTGTATTTGTAGGATATGCATGCCACGGCCACTTTAAAGTAGTAGTTCAGATCTTTGGAATTACGTGGATCACCTGAAGCTATAATATAAACTTTTACATTATCATGAGATTTTATTAGATTTTATTATCCAGTTGTTTACATATAATTTATGACTATTCGCAGACACTATTATTGTCAGCAGCTACAGTAGCTGTAGCACTTCCGGTGCAGCCTGGGGCTCCTCCAGCAAAATTTTTAAAGTATTTGTCCACTTTGGATTTACTCCTACAGGCTGTTACCTCATTAGTTTGGTCAGAATTAAACTCCAGTTCTCCAAAATGAGATAATTCAAGAGCTATCTAAAACAGGTAAGATATTAATCATTTATAACCTTTTATACAGAATCCCTCTTTAAATCATCTGAATTATAGAGAAGTCGGTACCACTTTACAATAAGGCTCCCCTTATAGATGGTGAATAAATAGTTTATAGGTATGTTATTAATTCCTCTATAAACACTTTATAAATCATTAATAATTGTTTATTATGCATTAATCAAGGGTGACAAAGAGATAAAACTGACCAGTTTCTTTCAAATAATGAGCCAAATCTGTTCACCTATATATTTCATCTAGTTGTTATATTAAACATTTCAGACTAAGTTACTACCTTGTAAGCGCAATAAGTATTTGTAAACCTATTTTCCTATGATATAATATTAGTTGTAGATACTTATGCAGTGACAAAGTACAATATTATATGCTAAAAAATAGGTAGAAATAGAAAAATAGAATAGAATAGAAAATAGAAACTGGTCAGTTGTGTCTCTGTCACCCTTAATTAATGCATAATAAACAGTTATTACTTATTTATGGTGTTTATAGAGGAATTAATAACATATCTATAAACTATTTATTAAATTAATTTATACAGTGCCAAGTTACAACAGAAGTCGTCTCAGGGCACTGAATAGAAACATTCATATATAAAATAATAAGTTAAAACTTTATCTGAGGAGCAGACTGTTTTGAGTTTAACTCCATCGCAGAACTCTAATCTTGAGCAAGCATGAAGGCGACAGTGGAAAGGAAAAACTCCCTCATGAGGAAGAAACCTTTAGCAGAACCAGGCTCAGGACAAGCGGCCATATGCTTCGACCGGCTGGGTTTGTTAGAAACAGATACACAATGGCAGGTCAAGAATCACTCTTTAAGATAGAAATAGTATCAATGAAAATTATTCAATTTTAACAATTCATTTAAGGAAATTAGGTCAATTTGTCCTCCAGTAGTCTAAGCTTAAGGCAGCATAACAAGCCAACCCTAACTATAGGATTTATCAAAAAGGAAAGTCTTAATCCCAGTCGTAAAACTGGACAATGTGTCAGCCTCATGGACAGAAACTGGAAGTTGGATCCACAAGAGCGGAGCCTGATAACTGAAAGATCTGCCTCCCATTCTGTTTTTAGAAACACTAAGAACCGCGAGTAAGCCTGCAGTCTGAGAGCGAAGTGCTCTGTTAGGAAAATATGGAACAATAAGCTCTGGAATATAAAATGGAGCTAGGTTGTTGACGGCTTTGTAGGTTAGAAATAAGATTTTGAATTAAATTAGCCATCTATAAGGAGAGCCTTATTATAAAGTGGTACTGCCAAGTCTATAGCTAGTCCAGTTTGAAGCCAAATGTATTCTTTCCACTGTTGGATGATGTTTTCACTTTACATTTAGGCATTGGTTGTATTTATATTCAGGCATTTGCAAGCTTAAAGGCATCAAGCATGTTCAGATAGAATAGGAAAATATCATTAGTTCATTGTCTTTATGGTATCAGGTTTCTTACAAGCCTTAAAGAATTTTATTTAAAAAAAACTCTCTATATCCAGCTCTAGCTCACATTCGACGAAGTAGCTTAACAAAACCTTGCAGTTTACAGTTTTATAGCAGGTTCGTATTGCCAGTGCTAATCGTTGTTGTATATGTTTGTTCTGCAGGCATTATTCTGAGTGCATAAACCTTCAAACATCACATGCTAATTGTGCTAGGCTTTCTCCCCAAGATGATTTCACAGATAAATGGCATGAGTGGAAAAGCCCAAATCAACACTGGATCACACACTCAAAATAAATAAGTAAATAAATTAATTATCTGTCTTACAAAGGGGGCCTCTGTTTGAACTTTCAAATGTGTCATTAACTTCAAGATCATGTTCTGGCACAACGCCCAGTGTGTAGCAAACAGTCATGGTGGAAAATAACCTACGGAGATTATTGCTTATTAATAATGATTATAAAAGAGGCCTTTGTTAACAGCCATCAGTGTGCTAATGATCCATCGTTAGGCTGATGGTCCTCCTTGAACATGTGATCAGCTGGTTTTGGTTGTCAGCAGCAAACTGGTTGATCCACTCTGAGAAGGTGCTATTTAAGAGACTGAGCTGAATACAGCACCTCAGACTGAAGAAGTATTTCGGATGGAAGACGAAATGTTTCTATATATTTTTTTGTTTTGTTTTTTGAATGTCCAGAGGACCAGACTTTTGTACATTTTTCTACCTGGATTATTGAGCATGCATCAGGATAAATGAGGGCTTTGTTTGGTATTTAGGTCCTATTTCTGTTGGTGCAGAGTTGAATAGAAGATGAGGGGCTTAAATGTAGCATTTTCACATTACAGATGATGGCAAAAGAAGATATGGATCCAAACAAAGGAAGATATATCAAGTAAAAGATTTAAAAAAAAGATGGATTGGCCCTTGGGAGGTAGAGATTGAGGACAGAGGGGCTGCCAGAGTGAAAGGTGGCAAGATAGAAGGACAATGGGATCAAGCAGGAGATAGTGAGCGAGGCAACATTTCTCGAAGGGGTTCTGATTAGTTGGTCTAGCAGCTGCTTTACTGCTGGCACCAGCTTTGCTCTGCAGAGAGCTGGCACAAACACATTATCACATGCACGAGGGGAGGGGGCACTGCAGAGTGTGCCATGCTAATGGGCAACACAATGTATTAGAGCACCAGAAAACACTATTTTTTTATTCCATGCATCCCTCCAGCCATACCTGGGTCCTATTAAAAGCCACGCGGGCAAAGATAGCCTGGGAGATGCCTGCTCTCTTCAGCTCCTCCCTCACATTTAGGTAGATGTCACTCGATATGTCTGTTGGTCCCACCGAAGACGCAGCTGCTGTCTGATTTTGTGGCCCGCTTGCAGCACCTCCACCTGGGCCACACTGCGCCTGCTGTAAGGCTTGAGATTCAGGAGCTTTGGAAAAGACAATGGCAGGAGGCCTCCCAACTGGAGGGTGGTTGAGATACTGCTGCTGCGGCGAGGAGAGACCTGGGCCAGCTAGCATACAGTTAACAGCATACTGCTGGTTGAGAAGCTGGGCCATGACCAGCTGCTGGTTGACCATTTGGGAGCTGAGCGGCTGGGAAACCAACCCAGGAGGGTGGAGCCCGAGAGCTGAGCGACCACAGATGTTGGCAACTGCTCCATGAGGGAAAACAAGGTTTGAGTTCTGATCAGCTGGACTTCCTGCAGCTGGCTGCTGGGTGAGAGGGATGTCGGGCTGCTCAGAGAAGCTGTCAGGCTCTGGAGAAAGAAAACAAGACAAATGCAGGGTCGTTCCTGACGCACAACAAATACAAACATTCAGGAAAGTACTGTAGCTGAGAGCTGGGTGTTCAGACACTGCTGGCAAACTGTGCACAGTAAAGCCAGTCGAAGCTTTAGTTGAAACTATTCAAAATTAGATCCAGGTTTATTGTCATTTTTTTAGCAGCAAGCAATGATTTTAAAGATTAGAAATTATTTTTTTACTTCATGGTTGCAAACTCTCAGCGAGCAAAGCAACTACCAAATCATAATGCACTCTCCTCCCTGTTTCACATTAGTCAGCTTCCACTTTATGACATTTTTATGCTATAAAAACTGAATCTTTAGATTTCATTAAAGCTGCATTTCTCAGGAGGCACTGAATTGAAAATGTCACCGGACGTCAGCTTGTTGGTCCATTCTTCTTGTGTGCACTGATTTTTGAAGCCTTTTTTAAATGATTGAAAGGTGTTGTTCTGATTCCAAGATGTGTTTTAGATATCTATTGTTTCTTAGTAGACTTTCTGGTTATAAACTGAGCTGTGCTACAGACAGTTTGGTCTTGAATGCATTGATATTTATTGTGATTTTTATTGTAGTGACATGTTCTCTGAGCTTTTAGCTGCAACGTAAAGCCCCCAGTATACTCCCACGTACGTCTGTCCGCGCGTACCTCCACATGGCATGTCTGCGCAAAGCCTAATTTTTACGACCGCGTGTGCGGTGTCGCACAATAAACTGCCCAGCGACGGACTGTTTTGTATGCAACACCAATGTATTCAATTCCTCTTCTTCATCCCTGATCTGGCCTTTTCTTTTGTTTTTTTTTTGCCAAGAGGCAGTGATCTCTTCCTCCTCCGTTGATGCCATGACTGAAATGGTGAGAAATGAAGGAATTTGTCACGAGTGAATTAAAATCAGGTCCAGCGTGGCTGCAGGAGGGTCTGGAGATTTCCTGGTGGGCTGGTCTGATGTGTGGGCTGCAGAGCCAGCGCTCTCTGTTTTTTTTTGTTGTTTTTTTTAGAACTTCTTATTAACAACATATAAACACAGAACACCGTAGGCGTGTCAGCAAATGACCAATTGGCGACCTCGATTTGTCCTGAAGGTAAACGTCCCTTGTCTGCGGAGCTGCTCTGCAGCCGCTCAAGGTGGACGCTCGAGTATGAAGTCTCAACAAACTGCGGATGGTGCGCACAGTTTCCGCGCGGCTGACAGGACACACAAGTATACTGGAGCCTTAAGCCCAAAGCATAATTGATCCACCTCCATGATTAACAATTACAGATGTGTTTTATTATGTTTTGCATTTTTTAAACATACAGCTGTACAAGCTGGGTGCAGCTAACTCTACATTATATAATGTCAATATCTTTGGACTTGGTGGACTTGAGAAATGTATCAGGCTTTTTTGATACTTGATTTAAAAAACAATTTTTTTTTCTGATAATTCTATTAGTCAGTCTTATTTGTGCTTGTGTTGTTGCATGTCCTGAGTCCCCTTACTTCTTCATAAAGTCTCTGATTTTTGCACTAAAGTGGAGCAAATTACACATTACTCATGAAACTTTTGTTATATTTTGCAAACTCGTTGTTCTTTTCATCGTTTCTTAAAGAGATGGTTCGATTTTTGTTGTATTGTGAAACAGTTTAGTTCTGATCCAATTGAAAAGTTAACACCTAGTCTGAGTGGGGCCATGCCCAAAGATTACTATGGTCTTAAAACTCTTCCACATTATTTGATAAACTTTGGCACCACCTTCAGTTTTACATTTCATGGGTATTTGGGCAGAAACCTCACGTTAGCTTAGCTGGTGGACTCTTTGTCCACTTTTCCTAACTCTTGCCTTGTGTTGTGTTTCATGTTTTAAGCTAGCTGTGTTTAATATTTTTTGTTTTCTTGTGGTAATTTTTCATTTGCATGTAATGTAGAATTAGGGACCCATAAAAAAAATCTTAAATCACACTTGATCTTCATAAAAAATATATTAAAATCTCACCCTTGAAGCATTTGGACCTCTTGAAGTGCTTGTACCACCGGCCAAACTCGTGACACTTGGCAGCTGAGACATTTGCATAGTAAGTGCTGTTTACAATGGACGATATCATGCTCTGGAACGGAAGGAAGACAAAAGGAATTCATTACGTTTCCCCGGCTGCTGCGATGGGCGGCCTGTGTCTCAGCTGTTCACACAACTGATATTAACCAACTCAGATCTGTGTTATTAAAAAGACCCCCAGGTAAAAAGGATAATAAAGACTGATGCGTGTGTCAGAATGTGAGCTGTGTGCACGCATGCATGTTTTTCTCATGGTTTCATGTGTGTTATCAGACAAAACACCAGAGGTCATCAGAGACGACGCATGATTCTCACCCACTGACGTGCACACGCACAGCTTTTCCCTTAAGACCACCCTGTGCAATCTTTACATCTGATTACACCTTTCATCTTCACATATTTATTTTAATCTGCTTCTCACAAACAACAGAAGGGAGGTTAAGGGATGGATAGGAGCGGTGGGGGAGGAGGCTCGTATTAGATCTCTCAGCGAAGAAAGGAATTTAAAATAAAGCTTTAAGATATCGTTTTTCTAACTGTACATGTCCAATGCAACTTTAGGCGAAAGCAATGTGGACAAAACTGCTTTTTAAATATGTATATTCAAATTGTCTTGTGATTTATTTATATCTTTGGGTCTGTGCATGATAAATCAAGTCTGAAAGCCAGCTGAAAAATATCAAAATTTAAAGATGAGTTATGTCCAGATGAGCAAAGGAAGATGTGTGGTGGAGCTGCCACAGACAGACAGACAGACAGACAGACAGTCTGCAGATACAGATAGGCAGCAGCCAAGGCGGCATGGCTCTTTAAGCGATACAGATCTCTCTCTATCTTTCACTATCCCCCACACTCCATCCCCAAACCTTATCAACCGCAGCATCTGGACTTCCTGGATAATTATTGGTCCACATGCTCGTTCACAAACACCGCCACAGAAACACACGAAGGACATGCAAGGGCAAAAGCAATATATTCGTACATTCTTCCATTTTTCATGCTTGCTCTATATGTGTGTGTTTATAATGTTTGAAGAATAAATGTTGCTTTTAGGGTTAGCAAATAAAATCTAGTATGAATTAATCATTTAGGATGTGATAGTTAAAAATTATGGTAAAGGGCAACATATTGTATTGTCTATATGGAGTGTTTCCAAGGGTGATAGTGTGTGTGTGTGTGTGTGTGTCGGTGGGGGGTATACCTGAGAAAGTGGGCACTCTTTGGCCAGGGAGCTCTGGTTCATGTCCTTAAGGAGCTCCTTCAGAGCATTTCGCACCTTGGAGTGACTCCATTGCTCTGCTGGCAAGTCCTCCAGTTTGGGACAACTGGACAAAATAAATAAAAAAAATAACATATATATTCAAATTTTCTTTGTTTAAAGTTGTTTTCATGCATGTTTCTCTCTCACGTTCATCTTTAGTGCGGTCCTGATAAGATTTTTAGGGTTTCTTTCTCAGACTTCACTTTCAAGGACACACATAAACTACTGTAAACTTTATACTGTAAACTTTATTTTTCACAGTAAATAACTGTTTGTTTGTTATTATTATTATTTGCAACTGTTTTTGTAAAACCTCCCATAAATACTCAGCCTAACACATAGCTGGGCCACCCATGGCATTTCTCTGTCCAAATGCTGGACCAAGTACATACAGGGTCTCATGCACTACACCCCCCCCCCCCCCCCCACACACACACACACACACACACCTTCTCACACGGTGTGAATGAAATTCTGGGCAGTGTGTGGGATCTGAAGCTCTAAATACACTTGGGAAGGTTGAGAAAACAATCACTCCCCCATCTTCGTTTTCTTATTATCACAAAAGAAACTGTCAAAGTAGGATGAGTACTTACACGTTTATTTTTAAGTTTTAAAAGTAGCACACAAGTGTTTGGCTTGTGCATGTGCACTATTGTCTAAGTTGCCTAGGAGAAGGTGATTTTATTCATTTTTTCCAAATAAAACTTTGACATAAACCCCATTTATACCAACATCTAGACATGTACAGGACTCTCTCGCCCTCCCCAACCTTGGCCAGTCAGACCAACTTACTCTCCTGCTCTCCCACATCATCCCACTCGTACACAGTACCAGACCAGTCCAACCACAATGACTGTTACAACCTGGCCTGAAAACACACTCTCCAAACTACAGGACAGCTTCAAACAGACAGACTGGGACTTATTTGAACACCAGGAGCTGGAAACATCCACAGGAACAGTACTGGACTATTTTAAGTTCTGCATCAGGAAAGGAACAGTGGATAAAAACATACAGGTTTTTCCCAAACCAGACACCCTGGATGACTAGCCAGGTTTGTAGACTCAGAGTCCACGATGCTGTCTTCAGGTCAGGTGACGGAGCTCTGTACAGTGCTGCTCGAGCCGACCTGGAAAGAGGAACTAAAAAAAGCCAAGGTGGACCATAAGAGGAGCCATCTGACCAGCAGCAACACACGGGAGGTGTGGCAGGACATACAACACATCACAAACTACAGATGCTGTGTTGAAACATCAGCAGACCTGAGTGCTCCACGGGCAGACAAGTTAAATTGCTTCTTCGCCCATTTTGAAATGTCTCAGCACCACTCATCTGCTTCAGCTTTACCTCCTCCCCCACCCAATTTTTACACCACTCACTGTACAGGAGCACAATGTCAGACGGGTGCTCCAGCAGTGAAACCCAAGAAGACTATCAGCCCAGACGAAGTACCTGGCAACGTGCTCAGAGCATGTGTCCACAAGCTTACCTTCATCTTTACCAGAATCTTCAACCTCTCCCTGACCCGGGCAGTCATCCCGTCCTGCCTACAATCAACGAAAATCATTCCAGTAACTAAGAAGTCCTCCATCGCCAGCCTGAATAAATATCATCCTGTGGCCCTCACTCTGGTAATCATGAAGTGCTTTAAGAGATTGGTTCTTCAGCACATCAAGAGCCATCTCCCTCCAGACTTCAACCCATATCAGTTCGCATATCGCACAAACAGGTCCACAGAGGATGCAATTGCCACAACTCTTCATTCTGAACGGAGCCACCTGGAATAGCAGCAGAGCTACGTCCAGATGCTCTTCAGAAACATTAAGTGTAGAACCACCAGACTGAGGAACAGCTTCTACCCTGAGGCTGTTAGACTCATGAATCTCTAACCAGGATGATCCCATCATGTTGCTGTGTTCATTTGTGCTCATCTGCTCACACAGACTCATGTTCGTGCTGCTGTTCGGCGTATTGTTGTTATTGTTTTTATGCTATTAGTGCTTAGAGTATTTTTAGTTGATGTTTTTCTTAGTTCATATCTTAGATTTCATTACTGTTTTTCTTTTACATTTTATTGTTGGATGTAACTGGGACGCTGTGTACAAAATTTCGTTGGTGCGAATGACAATAAAGAAACTGACTCTTCATGGATTGCAGATCAGCGTTTAATACAATCATCCCAGACACTTACCAAACTGAAAATTCTTGGCCTCCCCCTGCCCCCTCACGTGTGCCTGAGTAAAGGACTTTCTCACCAACTGGCCCCAGACTGGGAGACTTGGCCATCTCTCCGCCACTTGTACACTGAGCACCTATTCACCACAGGGCTGTGTGCTGAGCCCCCTCCTGTTTTGTCTCTACACCCACCACTGCAAATCAGCCCACAACAACAACCTCATCATCAAGTTTGCTGACAACACCACAGTGGTTGGACTCATCCTAAAGGGAGATGAGACAGCTTATGGGAAGGAGGTCCTGAAGCTGGCAACCTGGAGTTCAGAGAACAACCTGGCTCTGAACACCAAGAAAACCAAAGAGATTATTATCAACTTCAGGAAGTGCAACACTGACCCAGTCCCCATCTACATTGATGGTGGAGAGGGTCCACACCTTCCGTTGTCTTAGCCTCCTTATTTCTGCTGACCTCTCCTGAACAAACAACATCACAGCGGTCATCAAGAAGGCTCAGCAGCAGCTTCACTTCCTTAGAGTTCTCAGGAAGTACAACCTGGATTCCAACCTGTTGCTGACCTTCTATCGCTCCTCCATTGAGAACCTGCTGATGTACTACATCACAGTATGGTACGGCAGCTGCACCGTGACAAGGCAGGGAGTGGCTCCAGAGAGTAGTAAAGGCAGCACAGAAGACCATTGGATGCCCTCCCTGATGGATATTTACATCTCCTGCTGCCTCAGCAGAGCAAAACACATTATCAAGGACAACCCTTATTCTGGTTTTGAACTGCTTGGTGTGCTGCCCTCAGGGAGGTGCTACAGGTGCAACAGAACAAACATAAACAGACTAAGAACAGTTTTAATTTTCCCCAAAAGCCATAACCATTCTGAACTCACACATGCACTGACTTCACAAGCTAACCTTTCATACCCCTGGACTTCCTTCTACTCACTGCTTTTACCCATGTACTATGCATTGTTTAATACGTTTAAATAAATAATTACTTCATTTATTAAGTAAGTGCAGTTATGCACAATGCCATAACTGAGCGATATCTGCAGAGTGTGAAATAGCACTACTGTTTTAAGTGCAATACTACTACAGTTTTTAGGATACTTTTATTTATTACTTTTACTTTCGCTTATGTAATGTTTGCACTGTGAGAGGAGTTGCTTTTGACCTTGTTGTACATGGGTATACATTAGTGACAAAGAAAGGCATTATTCATTGATTTGGGTTTCATTTTATGCTGTGACTACATGCCTAATAAAATGATTTGCTCAGGATCAGAAACTGTGACTATCATTACAATCTAGTGGCTGCAATTCAAACAGGAGTGCCGGCTCCTGTGTGGGCTCCCTACCTGTGCAGCTGTATTTTAAGTGTGACAACATGGTGGACATCTTGCAGCATGTCGGCCACTGTAGCATCAGGAGAATCGGTTACACAAGACAGAGGCACTGGGTTCCACCTGCCCACCTGGATCAGACCTGAACACACAGCCAAGTGGGAAAAAGAGAATGTCTAAAGATGTAGCTGTGTGTCCATGTGCGTGTGTGTTGCGTACCTTTAGCCTGTGCTGCAGAGCTGTGGGAGTATCCCAGCGACAACAGGGCCATCTCTATCAGCTGATTAAACAGCAGGTCTCTTTTGACCAGCACAAACTCAGCATGTTCTTCTTTTCGCTCGAGCTCTGGAGAGTTTTCCTTGTGCTGCACCACACAGAACACCGGCAGGAGGGTTCCTGTGTGGAAGGCAAATGTGTTATTTGCCACAACATACAGTAGTGTACCTGTCTAAATCCATCTGGAATACATTTAGATTGCTGAAATTTCAAATTTCTTCATCAGACTCGTATTTACAGTCATTGATGTGTCATTTGGAGCTAATTGAAATCTTCTAGAAGCACACGGACAATACAGTAGTCCCTCGTTTATCGCGGGGGATCCGTACCCTGAAGACATGTGATAAATGACAAACTGCGAAGGAATAGTAGTACAAGTTGTAAGTAGTAGTTTACTTTAGTATTTAGTATATACATACATATATTATGAAAGTGTTTAAACCCTTCCCGCACTCTTGCAACATTCTAAACAATGTTACTAAGCTGTCATTCAAAGCTCAACATTCACTGCATTTTTATTTTTCGACTGAGAATGCTTTTTCTGTCGTTTGTTTTTTTTAATAGTCCTGTCAATTTAAATAAATCATTACTGTCCGTTTTAACAGACAAAGAGCATCCTGGACAACATAGGACTATATTTCTGTTTTCAGCATCTTTTCCTCTTTTATTTATCGTCTATAAACATTGGCTCCTGAAAGTAAGGACCAAACGTGGCCCTCATCACCGTAATAAGGACTCATGTGTTAGTTTCAAACATGGGATGATTCCTGATGTTAAGGGACAGGTGACAATCCTGGTCCAAACCCTTCCTCCTCTCTGATCAAGTACCTTTGGTGTGTCCACTTGCAGTTGAAGGTTTCTGGACTTGGCAGGGACTTTTGACCACAGGACTCGCTGGTCTCCTCCTCTCTGGGGTGGAGGATCCCATTCTGTGTTGCTCCAGTCGAGCCAGCTTGGCGGGAGGGGGCCGGGGGTTCACAGCCAGATCACCGCTCTCAGTTTTCTTTATTCCATGACACGCTGACTCCATCTGTAGTCTCACACTTATTCACACACAGAAACGAAACAGTCAAGGTTTTACTCGGTTATTTTGACATCGAGACATTAGCAGCGAGTTTACATGATTATAAACTAATATGGAAACAACAAAACACGTGAGCAAGTTTATAAAATCACTGATCTGTAAGATTTGTTAAATACAACGAAAGACCAAATTTATTTATTTCTTTTTAAGAGAAAAGTTAAAAACATAAAAGACTTGTAGTTTTCCTTTACTCATTAAGAAAGCATAGGTTCTGTCTCCAAAATGTAATGCTGTAAATAATTTGAGACAGACAGACAGACAGACAGACAGACAGACAGACAGACAGACAGACTTTATTATTCCCCGAGCATGTTCCAATTATCATATTTTTCGGACTATAAGGCATATTTAAAATCCTTTTAATTTTCTTAAAAATCGATAGTGAGCCTTATAAACTGGTGCACCTTATAGTCCTAAAAATATGGTAAACAGAAAAACAAACAAACAAAAAAAACCCCCCACATATGAAATAATAAAAAAAGCAGAATTCACAAATTTGGAAAAAGACAATATGCACACGCACAAGGTGATAGGGAGTACTACATTCATGATTAGCCTCTCTCTCTATATATATATATACACACACACAC